ATGGGAAAAACTAAGAGCAAAAAATGATGAGGATTCTTCCGGTTCTGTAACGCCCCATTCTTGGTATGTAATTTAAATATTGAATTTCCTTCCTGAAGGGTTACTCGACGAGTCAGTAGCCCGACTCGTCAAGTAGAAGAGGGAATGCACGTGGACTTAGTGGGGCGACTCGGCGAGTCCATTCCCGTCTCGGCGAGTCTGCCAGTCTGGATGAAACCCTAATTATTAGGGTTTGTACCCTATTTAAACGTCCTTATAGCCCCCATCCCAGCCTCCAGCACCTCTAGAGCGTTCCCCCTCATAACCCTAGCCCTCCATTGGTGAGTTGAGTGATTCCTTCTTGATTTTGAGTGTTTTGGTGTATTCTTGGAAGTGTAGAAGAGAAGGAAAGAGAGAAGGTGCAAAGGAGAAGAAGGAGATCCAGAAGCTAGCTTCCATTTGCTACTTCATCTGGTTATAAAGCCTCTACCTTGTTCATTTTCCTAGTAGATCTTCATATATGCTGGTTTTGCTACTTTTGGGACATTTCTAGGTCCAAACTCGAGATTGGAGCTCCCTTAGGGTAGTGAACTATAGATTTGGACATCATTGAGCTCCAGAAGCTCAAAGTAGCTACCTTTATGCAAAGCAAGGCCTTGTTCCAAACCCTAGGTTCCCATTTCTAGCTTATTTTGGTGTTTTAGCTTCATACCTCTATGCATGTACGTAAAGTTGGCAACTTTACGTGTTATATCGGCCCTAGAAGCTCAGATCTATGAATTGGATGCACTTGAATCGATTAGAATCAACTGTATAGTGAAGACATGCATAGGACTCGACAAGTCGTTCATTGGACTCGGCGAGTCGGAGTGCAAACTCCCGATTTCTCCGATTTGAGAGTTGTGAGTTGAATCAGTGAGTGGAAGGGGACTCAGTGAGTTAGAACAAGGATCTGGAAGTAGAAGGACTCGACGAGTCTACGACCCGACTCGGCGAGTCGAGTCGCGAGTTAGAGAATTATGAGTTAGGGAACTCGGCGAGTAGAGTCAACCTGTAAGTTGACTCTAACCAGGACTTTGACTTTGACTTTGACCAGGGGTAAATTGGTCATTTACTCCATGAGGAATCATCAGTTGATTCAGAATGTTATGTGATTGTAGCCGGGGAGTCGCCGGAGCAGCGGACAGGGATTTCTCACTCGGGATATCAGCAGTCAGTTATACGAGGTGAGTTCTCCTTCAGTAAGAACGGGTCTACGACACCAAGGTCGGCCCGTAGTATGATATGATAGTAGCTGAGTGTGGGCGGGGCCCGTATCCTATCTTAGCAGAATGTGGGCGAGGCCCGTATCTCATAGTAGTAGTTGACTTGATGTATGAATAGTAGATTAGATTTACATGTTGTCTATGTGATACTTGTATGTTGGGTTTAGTAGTTGAGTGTAGGCGAGGCCCGTACCTCATCATAGCCGAGTGTGGGCGAGACCCGTATCTCGAAGTAGCTGAGCATGGGCGAGGCCCGTACCTCAGAGATAGTGGAGAGTGGGCGAGGCCCGTATCTCCTAGATAGCGGAGTGTGGGCGGGGCCCGTATCTCCCAGTTAGCGGAGTGTGGGCGAGGCCCGTATCTCCACGAGTATGGGCGAGGCCCGTATTTCCTAGTTGCATGCTATGTGTAGATGGTATGCGGTAGATTGGGCAGACTCACTAAGCTTTGTGCTTACTGTTTTCAGCTTTGGTTTCAGGTACTTCCACTAGCACTGGGAAGGGCTCAGGATGATCACATGACACACACCACAGTCTTCAGCCTGGGAGTTAGACTCTGATATTTGGATATGAGATTTTGATTTGAGACAGATACTATGATGTTTATGATACATAATTATGATTTTACTTATGATTTTGGATGGTTGATGGTTTTAAATAATGTTTTGAAAACGAAATTTTTGGGTTGTATTTTTGGGATGTTACAGGTTCGAAGCGTCTAAGAAATGTCGATGGAAGTTCACAACAATCGGAGGGCCAAACAAACATCGACATCAATGATGAGCGGGTGGATCTTAAAGATGAACAACCTCTTTTTCGACCGATAGGAAGAAATAGAGAAAAGAAAGTAGCTTTCAGTTCATCCTCAAAAATATCGGGTTCAAGCATTATCAATCATTTTGGAGAAAAAATTGATCAATATGTTCAACTACAAGAGATCACGTCGGTGATGATGAATCGGGTGAAACAGAAAAATGCTAGAATCGCACACGTCATTTCAAGAGGCGCAAACGACGTTTCAAACGAAAAACGATTTGGAGATGTTGAAAATGAAAGTTGGCAACTACGATGACAAATATTTAGAGATTTTTCTCGTAATGAAAGAATCTATCTGAGCGATACTGGAAGATCTTATAACCAATTATCACTTTATAAACACTTTTACTTTGAATTTTTAAGTTAATTTAAGATTTGAACTTGTTAAATTTGTGTTTCAAATTATTCATGTGTGGCTAGTTTCCTTTCCATATTCGGTTCTTAAGTTCTAGAATACTTGTTTTTGGATTGTGATGTGAAGTTGATTTATGTTTTATTTAGTGATCTTTGATTCAGTCTTCATTACATGTTTGATTATGGGTGTGTTCGATACGGAGCGTTTAGGAGCTTCTAGCTTCTAACGTTTGACAAAGCGTTATGTTTGAAACAAAAAATGTCGTCTGACACAACAAGCTTTTAACGTTTAGTTTAAAAAGAACTCTTCAAATCTAAAAGCTACCTCACATAGCGTTTAACAAAACGCTACCCGATTCTTGCTATTCGCTACCCGCTACCAATTAGTTGTGTCGAACACACCCTATATCTCTTTTCACATGATCAATGGATTTAGGGTTTTGAATTATTCTTGTTATTCAAGTTATGAGATATATAAATGTTTTATAGTTCGGAAATGGTAACAAACAATTAATTGGGTTTGAATGAATCAAAACAAGTGTAATAAAATATTAAATACTTTTACAATCCCGAACATACGAGGAATATTGAGTATTATTGGTAATACTTATACTAAACAAACTGTCATCTAATGATTTAGTTTAAGATCCTATTTAAGTTAGATTACTTATATAGATTTAACTTGATGATCTTATTTTGAGTAAATACTTTTGGCAATTCTAAAAATACAAGAGCATGTTAGTATTTTAATTACCAACCTATATGGAAAGAAGATTGATATCGCATCACATCCAATAATATAGTACTTGAATAGAATTTAGAACCAGCAATCTTTCTTAATTCTGAATTTTAGTCATTATTGTATGTTATTTGTTATTTGTTTATGAAATTTTATTTTTAATCAACAAAACTGTCTTTTATATCAATTTTCAAAATGTATCGTGTGGAAAGGCTTAATAATTATATTTATGTCTCTGTGGACTGACCATGTGTATTTTATACTATTGATTCGTGTATTATAGTAATGATTCCCAAAATTTTATCATCCCTTTTTATTTGTTGGTTTAACACCCAAACACTACCTCGTCGGACTGCACAATGGTCATATTTGCTTTCTGACGTGCACTTTGTTGGCTACAACTTTCCCAGAAAAAAGTGTCATGTCATCATGTTATGTTAGCACAACATCATTAAAGAGTGACACATCACCATGTCATGTCAACTGACCGATCAAATTGTTACCATTGAAACAAATTGGAAAATATAGTATTAAAATTGAAGCTTTGTTAAAACTTAGTGTTTTAGTTGTAAGAAAAAATAATTCAATGTCAAAATCAAATTTTTGTTTAGTATCTTTTATGCAGTTTATAGATATATACAATTATATCTATTATAATCTATATATACAATCTTATTATTTTTTAGGTGTTTAGATCTCAATTGGTGCTGCTTCTCATTTAAATGTGCTAGAAAAAATTGACAAATACTTCAAAATTTTCGTTATATACAACATGTAAGAGTTGATGGAAATTGTGTTTTTTTATAAATAGTTGTGTTGTCTGAATGAAAATTACATTGATAATAAAACGTAAAACATAAAACAATTGAAATTAAATTGAACGGGAAATTCTATGATAATAAAACGTTAAAAATATGAAACATAAAAATAACCATTCTAGTAATATACCGACGCCATTTTACGCATCCATTGACAATTTCCAAAAGTCTACATAATAGAAAGCTTTCTCATTTTTCTTGGCGGAAAATTTCAAAAGCATTGTTTAAAACCATTTCATCACTTTCAACATCTGATTATTTGAGTCTCAGTTTACTAGTTTATTAAACACAATGTTAAACTACATCACCATTTCGTTCATGCTCATCTATTTTGTATTGTTTTGTTCTTTGACTCGGTAGCAAGCTCAATTCATTTCGTTGAGGAAACATCGAGTGATTTTGTTTCAAAAAGACGACCTACTTTTTTTTATGCCAAAGGTTCTCCAATTAGGGGTAATAATTCTCGACCTGACATGTTTATTTTATTAGATTAAAAAAATTAAAAATATATTTATTAAATAAAAGAGAGAATAATGACTAACAACTAAATATGAGATATTTCGATTTCCACCCCCCGTGACGCACAAACTCGATTATAACCTACGAACCTTATTTGACCTACTATCCCGAATCTGACTTGCAAACTCGTATAATTAAAATGGTTATCCGGGTTACACGAATTGACATGTTTATGGCTAATCCAGGTTTAGGATTGAACAAGACGATACAAATATTTATAAAGTTCGTGTCCATTGATTTTATGACCTGTCAACCCAAACGTTATAGGATTGCCACACCTGCCTAAAGCCACCTCTTTTATTGTCTTTTAAGGTAAAATCAAAGAACCGACTTAAGCGTTTGAGAGAGATATTTTGCAAAACTAAAATCAAGACAAAACCAATTTTTTTTTCTTTTTCTTTGGATCGGACCGGCAACTGTCCGTGTGCAAGCGAATCCTGAAAGGCCCAAAAGAAACGTAATTTAATCCTCTTTGAACCGATGCAAGCAAACCTATTTATATTGCGTTCCTCTCCTCCATTCCTGTCCCGCAAACCCCCGATCTACAATTCTCCATCTCCGTTCTCAGGCGATTTTCGCCGCTCTCTCACTTTACACCACCTCTTAATCTTCCCGTTCATCTCATATCCCTAACCAATTATCATCTGAAATCAAATACCAACAAGGATCCTTTTACTCGTTAGGGTTTTTCTGTTAGCCGGGATTTCCAAAAAAAAATGGGAAGTTCGTCGACGAGCAGTGTATACATCCAAGTCATCGAAGACGTCATCACCAAAGTCCGGGAAGAATTCATCACCAATGGTGGTCCGGGTGAAGGCGTTCTCAACGAACTTCAAGGAGTGAGCTATTTCTCGACTCTCGACTCTTCATCGTTCCTCATATCTGATTCATTTTCAATTTCGATTTAGTTCACTTCATCACCGATTTTTTCATCATCAGAAAGTAATCATCTGTTAATGGTGCAGATTTGGGAGTTGAAGATGATGCAAGCTGGTGCCGTATTTGGCCCTAACGACAGATCTTCATCGGCAAAGTTGCCGGCCCTTGGAGCTCCGGCCAACACTGTTCGTGATCTAAATGTGCCCTATGAAGGACCTGAAGAATTCGAGACACCTACAGCTGATTTACTTTTCCCTCCGGTGAGTTATAAGCTGTCTGTTTTCAAATATGTAATTTTAAATTTTAAATTACAACTTACATCCAGATCTTTATCTGTACAGACACCACTACAGACTCCAATTCAGACACCATTACCAGGGAGAATCGATCATTCATACAATATACCTACTGCTTCTACTCCCATAACCCCAAATAATCATCCTCCTGTAGATGAAAATGACCAATCTGGGAGGCCTAGCCAATTCATGGTAACTAAATCTTTCTTTTCTGAATTCTGATAATTGTGTAGCCCTAAATATTATTCCTTATTGAATTGTGTTCTTCATACTTGTACAGCAGCCACCTTCTTCTTGGTTGAACCAAAGACCACGGCTTGATGTTAATGTTGGTAAGTTATAGATTAATCACAAAGTAAATTATAAGTTCCATTCCATTTCATATTAATAAATATATTGTTGTTACAGTTTATGAAGAAGGTGATAGAGAAACAGCCCATCAAAACATGGCTCAGGTTACCACAGTTCTACTCTTGTGATTAAACCATGTTTACTTCTTTACCTTTACATTATATAAAATTATTTTTTTGATGGTATTGTTTTATTTGTAGGATTTTCTGCAGTTGACTTCTGGAAAGCGAAAGAGAGAAGAGTTTCCTTCACAATATCGTCCAAGTGGATATATTCCACAACAAGATGGATCTGGAGATGTTGTAGCTGATGAATTTGAGGTGAGGTTTTTTGGTGTTTATCATTTTAGATATTTAAGTTTTAAACATATATTTGGGTGGGTAATTAATTAATTGGTTTCTTATGGGATTGAAGATATACAACTACCAGGGGGTTGTGAATGAAGACTACAATGTTGCTAATACACCTGCTCCACCTGGTAAAGTAATATATAGTCTATTTTGTTGTTTAATTTTTGGTTTGATTTTGAGAATTTGGTGTTACCTGGATTTGATTAGAACTACAAGGGCAAACTCCCAGCTTGGTCAATCAGAATGATGCTTTAGATGATGATGAAGATGAAGCTTTGAATGAAAATGATGATGATCTGGATGATGTTGATGATGGCAATGATGATGATGAGGAAGTAAATACACAAAATTTGGTTTTGGCCCAATTTGACAAGGTATAAGTTATAATATATGCATATAAATATCATTATTGCTTGAATTTTAAAAGTCAAACCTAGAGTTTTATCAAACCGAAACTCTGTTTTTCAAAATGAGTGATGTTGCAGTTTTTATATCCATTCCAAAATCAAAAACTTTACAAGATATGGAGCAGTGTTTTTAGGTTAATTGGTATAACAACATAATTGATTTCATTTTACAACATAATTGTAAAAAGTCTAGTCTTTTTACAGGTGACTCGTGCAAAGAATAGGTGGAAGTGCACTCTAAAGGATGGGGTTATGCACATAAACAACAGAGACATTTTGTTCAATAAGGTTTGTGACTTTGTTCAACTTCAATGTGTGATTACTTCCAGATAATTTTCTTCTCTTGTCTAATTTAAGCATTCCATTTTGTTTTCAGGCTTCAGGAGAGTTTGATTTCTGATTATTTTGTCCCAAACCAAATGATCACATTTTGAAGACGAGGTTAATCTAGAGCAATCATGCAAACATACCAAATTTTGTAATTCCATGTAGTAAAGATTGTAAGCATGTCTTTGGATAGGGTTATTTTTTAAAAAGCAAAGCTAGAATTTATGTGATTCTTGATGCTCTTGAGGGAGGGATGCTTAACTGTTGTACATAAAGTGGGGAAGCTTGATGTTGTTGGCTCTATCATGAAAAAAAGTATATTTAGTTTAATATTATCAATATGTATAAAAGCCTACCTGTTAAATCATTAACGAATAGGAAAAATGGTATCCCGGAATTCTCATTTGAAACGATTTGATGTAAAAAAAACAAAAAACTTTCAAATTACACATTGGAGATGGGAAATCAAATCTCTTTGGGGGCAACTTTTGTATTTGTAAAAAAATAAAAATGGCTCGCTCTAAAATATTTCAGTTTTCTATGGCTTGTGGTTTATCAAGTTATCAAGTTGTGAAAGATCATGATTACTAACTTCAGCCTTCAATGGTTTTCATCTTCGATTATTTAAAATAAAATTTCCAAACTGAAACACCAAAATTTTATACAATAAGCATCGGAAAGAACAAACATGATCACTCAAAGAAGAAATTAACCTCTGAAAAAGGATCACTGCTTACGAGGAAGGAGCACGCATTGCGATTGGAAGTAAGCATAGAGAGATGATGCATCCGGCGCTTGCCCCGCCATGGCTGGATGCCGCCATCCGGAGCTGCTAGCACCACCGCTGCTTTGTTGCAGTTGAGGAATTATTCCGATCGCAATCTCATGGTTCATTTTGGCTTCATGATTGTTGTTGACGTTGTTAGGTGAGAGAAATGAATTTTGAGTTTGGCCAGTGGCATCGGCATCGGGTAGAGGAGCCGGCGAGACTACCAGAGGAGATAATAATGGAATCACAGTTTTCGAGGAATTCCAAAGCTCGTTGAATTGGAGAGTGGCCGGAGCTTGTTCTTGGAGCCGCGTCAGAGGCTTTCCTTCCGAGTTCATTGTAACGCTCAGCAAAAATGGCAGCAACAGCGGTGATGATGATGACGACGATGATGATGATGATGATGATGATGATGATGGTGGTAGAAAATAAGAGTAGGGAGGAGCGGAAAGTGTGGTGGGTTTAAGTCGGTGAGAGTCATGTTTTGAAGGGCGGTTACAGGCGTTACGGTTTATGTGAGGGAGGAATGGATGAGAGCTTCCTTTTTGTCTATGCGTATGGTGTGTCTGGCTTTTGGCTACTTGTGAACCTTTTTTTTTTCTTTAGATTTTATTTTTAACTCCCAAGTCGTAATATTTTACTATATAAAAGTATTTATTGACTTATTGTGGTGGTAAATCTTTTTTTTTTAAAAAAAAAAATTAGTTTTTATGATGAATCAGAATGTTAATAAGTTCAAATGTCTGACTTAAAATTTCATTTTTGAAACTATTTTGGTTAAAAAGCCAAAAACAATTTCAAAAAGCCAAGTTTTATATGCTTTTTAAAATCTATTTTTTTATACGTTAATGAAAAACTATTCTAAAAAGTGTTTTTAAATTTGTAAAACATTTTTATTTATTTATTGACTTTTTAAAAAACTAATAAGTTAATAAGTTGTTTTGAAAAGCAATCCAAATACCCTTTAAAAATACCACAAAGTTGAATTAATATACTAGACATCCATTAAAATTCCATTTACCCAAAAAAACAACCACTATCTTCACCAACTAATGACCGTGTTAGCTTGACTTAGTGCTTGCAAGAGATTGCGACAAAGCTTGCTACGTAATCAGGAGATGCTAAGAAGATAGTTTTTCTTTTAGATGTCGAATAGGAACAAAAATTTAAAACCAAATTGGCTTGGTTTCTTGCAAAAATTCTATATTAATTATTAACACCTTATAATTTTCTAGCACATTATTAGTTTATTTATTTATTTATAAAATCTTACCATTCTAAAAATAAAATAAAATGGAGAATAACATGACAAAAAAACCTCTTTTAACTTATGTCATGTATCATAATTTATATTAACAAGCTAATCCTTGCTATAATAAGTAGATTTTGTCAAAATATAATATAATATTAAAAATTATTTTAGAAATATGATGTTATAATAACAAAATGAAAAACATATCATTATAATAAAAAATATTATGGAAAATTTCATATATACCCTAAATATTTAGAAGGAAATATCATATTTGCCCTAACTAATATTTAAATATCATATATATCCTAAATAAACAACCATAATATCATATTTGCCCTAATTTTAAATTTTAATACTTTTATAATCAGTAATTATTATTTAAAATCATTTTAATTATAAAAAATAGATATTAAGTAGTTTTTATATTTTAATTTTTTGCATTTAGCCTAAAAGATCAATAGTAGCGGGCTCGTGATGGAAGCCGAACAAACTATTTGCAACTACTGTTCATGGGATGGGGACTGGGGAGTAATAGTAAGTGGATTAAGTTTGGATATTAACCATGCAAACAGTGTTAAAACGCCAATTTAAAACAACGCAGTGCCTAATTTTTCGTCCTTTATCGACCCTGATAAACCCTAAATCATTTCGAGACATCAATTTCAGCTCTCTGGGTAACGTTGCAGCTGTTGAAGATCACAAAGAGAATCACTTAAAGTTGATTGATTTGGATCTTTTGGCTCAATTGCAACATGGTTGTCATGGGTCCATTTGTAGCTCATACGCTCTTAACAAGCTTCTATCCTCATGTGCAACTTCAAGATCACTTTACACCGGTATTCAAATTCATTCATTTGTTATCAAGATGGGTTTTTGTCCGCATGTATATATCAGCACTGCTCTTCTGGACATGTATGGCAAATGTGGTGTAATATCCGATGCTCAGAAACTGTTCGACGAAACGCCTCACAGAAATGTGATTACATGGAACTCGTTAATTTCAGGTTACCTTCATACCCATTACGTGGATTTTTCAGTCGAGTTGTTTCTAGAAATGCTTAGATTGGGAATATATCCAACTCATTTTACTATTTCCACTGTTCTTGTTGGGTGTTCACAGTTGGAAGCACTCGTATTAGGGGAACAAGTGCATGGGTTAAGTACAAAATTTGGGTTTCTTTCTAATGTTGTGGTGTGTACGTCTTTGCTTGAGATGTATTGGAAATGCTCTAATGTAGATGATTCTAGGAGAATATTTGACGAAATATCTGATAAAAATGCTGTTGTTTGGACCTCAATGATCACTGGTTACACACAGAATCAACAAACCAACATTGCAATGTGCATGATTAAAAAAATGCTGGTTTCAGGTCATAAAGCAGATTCCATAACTTACAATACTTTGTTGAGTTCCTTTTCTAATATAGATGACATGATCCATTGTGAACAAATTCATTGCTCAATCATAAAACAAGGGTTAGATTCAGATGTTTATTTAGCAGTTACTTTAGTTACTGTTTATTCAAAATGTGGTAGCAGCTTACAAGACTTCCACAAAATCTGTGCCACTCTCCCAGTTAAGAACAAAATAACATGTAACGCCATTGTTGCTGGATTTTCAAACATGGGAAATGTCGAGAAAGCCCTTGGTGTCTTTTCGGAAATGAGGCAGATAGGTATTGATACCGATTTCTTTACAATTTCAAGCATTTTAAAAGTTATAGGAGTTATGTCAACTTTCAAAGAGGGTAAACAAATCCATGGTCTTATAGTCAAGTCAGGTCACTCTTCAAATATATACATACAAAACGGGCTTATTTCCATGTATGCAAAAAGTGGTAACTTTGATGAAGCAAAATGGATGTTTACATCAATGGTGGAACATGATACAGTATCATGGAACTCACTTCTTTCATGCTATGCTCAACATGGAAAAGGTAAGGAAGCAGTTGAAGTTTTTGAAGAAATGAGAAACACCAAAGTCAAACCTGATTTGACCACGTTTCTTATTGTGATTTCTGCTTGTGGTCATGTAGGATTGGTGAAGAAAGGGTTAGAATTCTTTGAGTTAATGAGAAGTAATTATGGTTCACCAAAAGTTGAACATTATGCTTGTATTGTTGATCTTTATAGTAGAGCTGGTTTTCTTGATGAAGCAGAAGTGTTTGTGAATAGAATGGGAATGGAAGCGGGACCCGAGGTGTATAAAGCTCTGTTGAGTGCTTGTAGGGTTCATTGAAATAAGGAAATTGGTTTGCGTATGTCAAGAAAAATTGTGGATTTGTTTCCTGATGATCCTGCAGTTTATGTGCAGGTGTCAAATGTTTTGGCTAGTAATGGTTACTGGGATGATTCTGCTAGAGCACATAATTTGATTTGTAGTAAAGGAATCAAGAAAAAAGCAGCATGTAGTTGGATATAACTTGACTTAGGGCCTGTTTGATTTGAACTTACCGGGTCCGGTCAGTGCTGACTGTGCAGTCAGATGTTTGTTAATGACATATATTAGCTGATTCGGTCAGCCCATTCCACCCCATTCTACTTACTCGGTCCGTCAAAAAATACCTCCTGACTAGATAGAAGACGCCTCCATCGATTTTTTTGCCCTTTCTCGCCTCAGCCTCCTTCGCCAAAATTGTACACAAAAAGTCTAATATTGCAATTGTAAAGACACAGACAAATATATATATCAAAATAACTCTTTGATTGATTGGAAATATAACTCAAAACCAATTACATATATATGTGTATATGTCTATGTATGTTGCTGTGTTTTTGGTGTGTTTAACCCTCTTGGTAATACACTGAATATATAGGATTGATAGAATCATTTTAATCCTATAATTAATACACATGAGACCCAACCACTTGTTGGTGTCCCTTACTTTATAGAATCATTTTAATCCTATAATTAATACACATGAGACCCAACCACTTGTTGGTGTCCCTTACTTTGTTCCAGGAATCAAGTTTACTTTGTTGGAGTGGAAAACATTGGTAGGGTATTAAGGAATTTAAGATTCCAACAATCACCCCCGAATCTCTAAGTCCTTCTAGAGATGTTTTTCAATCCCGATCAAGTCCCGCATTGTCTTGAACTTGGTTCGAGCCAATGGTTTTGTGAGAATGTCTGCCTTTTGTTCTTCACCTGGAATGTATTTCACCTCCACTTGTTCCTTTTCAACACACTTACGAATGAAGTGAAACCTCGTGTGAATGTGTTTGCTTCTTCCGTGAAAAACAGGATTCTTCGTGAGTTCGATAGCTGACTTGTTATCAACTCTTAGGACCACCTTCTCTTGTGCTTTGTTCATGATTTCGCCTAGCAAATCTTGAAGCCATATTGCTTGACATGCAGCCGCAGTTGCAGCCATGAACTCCGCCTCGCAAGATGATAAAGCAACAATATCTTGCTTTTGAGAACACCATGTTATTGGAGACAACCCATAGTAGAAAATGTGACCGGTTGTGCTTCTTCCGTCGTCCGGGTCGACATTGTGACTACTATCGCGTAACCAATGATCCGGTTTTGCCCATCCTCTCGTACTTGATTCCATGTGACGTTGTTCCACGTAAGTACCTTAGGATGTGTTTGATTGCAACACCATGTGATTCTCTTGGATCTTGCATGTATCGACTAACAACTCCAACCGCATATGCCATATCGGGTCTTGTCTTCAAGAGATATCTAAGGCATCCTACCAACTTTCGGTATTGTGTCGGGTCGATTTCGGGTTCATCTTCGGCCTTCGACATTTTGGTTCCTGGATCCATGGGAATGTGGGTCGGATTGCAATCGTGTAAACCGGCTTCTTTTAGAATGCGTCTAACATACGCTTCTTGGTTTATAGTAATCCCTGATTCTTCTTGTTTGACTTCAATGCCCAGGTAGTAAGTTAATCTTCCAAGATCAGACATCTCGAAGTTCTTGGACATTTCAAATTTGAACCTTTTGATCATGCTCAAATTTGTACCTGTGACAAACAAATCATCAACATAGATTGCTAAAATTAGCAAGTTGGATCCTTCGTTCTTCCGGTACACCGATGGTTCTTTCATGCACTTGTGAAATTTCATTCCTTTCAAAATCCCATCAAGTTTTGTATTCCATGCTCTCGATGCTTGTCTAAGACCATATAGTGCTTTTGAAAGACGGTACACCTTGTGCTCGTCACCTTTCCTTATGTAGCCTTCCGGTTGATACACATAGACGGTTTCTCTCAACTCTCCATGTAAGAAAGCCGTCTTGACATCCAAGTGGTGAAGCTCCCATCCATTGGTAGCGGCTAAGGCAATGAGAAACCGTATGGTTTCGATGCGAGCTACGGAGCAAATACTTCTTGAAAGTCAATACCAGGTTGTTGTACGTACCCTTTAGCAACCAACCTCGCCTTGTGTTTGTTTATGGTGCCATCTGCATTTTTCTTCAGCTTGAACACCCATTTGAGTCCAATGGGCTTCACCCCCATAGGTTTGTTTACGAGAGACCAAGTATTGTTCTTGTTGATTGAATTGATCTCTGTATTCATGGCTTTGACCCACTCTGGTTCTTTCTTCGCCTCTTCAACCGATACCGGCTCGTCATTGGTTGCTAGGAGAAGTTCTTCAATTTCATCAACATAAAGTACATAATCTCGTAATCGAATTGGAAGCACCTTTTGTCTTGTGGGCCTTTGGTTTTGAACATTGTTCACGTTGTTGTTGATCGGACTTGGTTGCTCATTTTCTTGTACCTCCACTCCGTCTTCAATCTCGTGATCCGATTCGTTTGGTTCGTTGTTTACTTCGTTTCCTTGGTTGTTGTTTGCCTTATCTTCCGGTAAATCCCATGGTACTATGAATGATCCTGGTTCTTCATTGTCAGGTGTAGCTTCGTTAACCCAATTCCATCCTTTGGTTTCATTAAAAATAACGTCTCGACTTACGATTATTTTTTGTGTAACCGGGTTAAATAACCGATAGGCTTTTGTACCCGGTTCATAACCAAGATGAACCAATGGTCTTGATCTTGCATCCAATTTTTTCACGTTTACCAGTTCAACTTTTGCATACGCTAAACACCCAAAGATGCGTACGTTCTCCAAATTAGGTTTTCTTTTATACAACTTCTCGTACGGAGTTGTATCACCAAGTACTCTTGTGTAAACACGGTTGATCAGGTTTGTGGAATGTTTTACCGCTTCTCCCCATAGATAGTTTGGAACATGCATCGCCTTCATGATACTTCGTGTCATGTCCATAAGTGTTCTGTTTCTTCTCGTTCCACAATACCGTTTGTTGTGGTGAATATGGGGCGGTAAGATGGCGTTTGGTTCCATTCATATCACAAAAGGAATTAAACTCGAGCGAAGTAAACTCACCTCCTCGATCACTTCGAAACACCTTTAAAGACTTTCCGAGCTCATTCTCCGCCAAAGCTTTAAATTTTTTGAAGTGTAAAAACGCCTCATTTTTCTCTTTTAAGAGAAAAATCTTTTGGATTAGGTGTCTAAGCCCATAACTATAATTGGTATGTACTTGAATTGACAGCAGCACAGTCCTTTTGGGTTGCCCTCAACCTAGCAACTGGACAAGGAAATTATGAAAGGAGAGATATTAATTTATAAGATTAATAAATTAATATATATATAAATGATTTATTAATATGTTAATGGATTAACATATTAATTAGAAATCATTATGTTTAATTAATTGTTAGCCAGAAATTAATCAGAATTGATTTTGGGGTTAAAAGAATTAATTATAAGGTACAGGGACTAGTTTGCAATTATCTAATAGTTGAGTGGAAGGCTCTAGAACCCCCTTGGAAGAGGGTGGACGAAATCTTTAGGGGAAACCCTAATAATTTCGTCCATAGGGGCTTGGATAAGGCCCTTGGGTTTGCTTAGGCCCTAAGCAAAGGATAACTAGGGTTTCCCTTAAACCCTAGATCCCTCAGCTATATAAGGAGCCTCCTGGTTCATGTTTTTGGTACTCTTTCTTTGGAAGAAACCCTAAGGCCGAGATTTTGCATACTCCCTCCTCTCTCTCTTCTTCTACTTTCCTTCTTGCTAGTTTGGGTGTGATTCCATTAGAGGCATTACAATTGTGGTGCTAAAGCTTCCAAGAAGATCAAGATCAAGATCAAGGGAATATCAATTGTTTGCTATAACAATTGAAAGGTATGTAAACCCTAAACCCTAGTTTGTTAATTTCGAAATTAGCCTCTCTCCTCTAGGGTTCTTGTTTTGCAATTCAAAGTTGTATGTTCAATAGTTAAAACATAGATCCAAAGTAGGTTGCATGTGAACTTAGGAATTGTTTCTAGTTTATTTGTTGTACCTAAAACCCATCAGTGGTATCAGAGCCATTGTTGTTTTAAATTGAATTGCTACAATTGTTGAATTGCAAATTAGGGTTTATAGCTATTAAACCCTAAAGGCCAATCTTTCGATTTCTAGGGTTTTGGATCAAAGGGTTTTTTCGAAAACCCTAGCCTCCAAAGAACCCTAATCGAAATTAGGGTTAGGGTTTTGAAAACCCTAGCCTCCTCCCTTATGAATTTCGAAATATGCTAAGAGGATAACTAGGGTTTCTTGTTTTTGGATAATTGTTACTTAATTAGATTAATTGGATAATTATCCTTACCCTATTTTTCGAAATTTAGAGGGATAAGGATTAGGATTAAATTAATGGATTAATTTAATTAGATAATCCTTACAAGATTTAATAATTTGATTAATAGTTAATTAAAAGATAAATATTAAATCTAGTTAATTGGTTTATTTAAATTTAAATTTAATAGCTTAAATTTCGAAATTTATAAACCCTTGAAGTTTTAAAATGTTTTAAAACACACCTTATATATATATTATAATTAAAAGTTTAATATTATATATGTATAAGAATATGGTCAGTCAAATCGCTAGTATGCCTCATTCACGAAGCAATCTATAAGGGGGGTATAAGGAAACTGCCTATAAAATGGTAGTTGAATGGGTGTCCACTCTCACCCACCGCTTCCTTGATTAGTGGAGGGTCGTTAGCAGAACGGATTTGATAGGACAACTACTTCTCATTAAAAGTATAATGATATTAAAGAAAGTACTAGAACATTATTTTTCAAAATCCCAACTCTAGTTACTTTAGGAAAAATGTGAAAAGTATGCTAATCCATGAAATTGCACATTATGCTTTATTGGTCGTTAGTGGAGCGTGTGTGGTTAACCAGCACACTAAAAGGCACTAATAAAGAGTAGT